GTAAGAGATAGAAGTTAAAATAGGAATTAACCATCTAAGAGTGATTTGTTATAAAATTCGGTCATAGGCTTGTAAGAAACTATTTTTAAATCTATCAGTCCTACATTTAAACAAATCCAAACTCTCGTTATTGTGTATTAAACGTCCATGTGAATCGTACCTCGTAGAAGGCATGAAATGAGACAATTTCGACTTGATTGAGTTTTAAGATCATTAAAAAGTTTCACACACAAGCGATGGCGGTTATCTTCGAGATTCGGGCACTCGGTTTTAGCAAGAGTTTGACGATAAGATAATTCTGTGCAAATAATACGAAAGAACCTCTTTTAGATACATTCAATCTTCTCAACAAGATAAGTTGGTAGGCATGAATGCCAAACGGCACATTCATATTCTAAAATAGGACAGACAATTGCCATATATGTTTTTATCAAATCGTTTATGGAAACTCCATTACGTTTCAATGTGCGAATAATATACAGAAGTTTTCCAGCTTTTTTTGTTATAGTGTTCACGTGTTCTCCCCATTTGGTATCAGCCTGGATTTGTAGATCTAATAATTTATCACTTTTCACCACTCAATTGGTATTCCATCAATGACTAGTTGGGATAGGTCAGATGGGTTACGTTGGAAATTTATCCTTAGTGCCTTAAATTTTTTTGGGTTGAGCTTCATATGATTATCATGGGTCAAATTTAAGATGTGATCTAGTTCAAGTTGCACGACAGATGAGCTATGTTTTCATAGAACTTCGGAGATGGTAATGTCATCTACATATTTCCAATGGTCAGAGTTTAAGGTTCTTAAATCATTTATCATTATCAGGAATAAAATAGGTCCTAGTTTAGTTCCCTGTGGAACAATAGCATTTGCTTTTGCCCATTCCGAGATTGATTTTCATACTTTAACTCTCTTCTTTCGATCTGATAAGAAGTTGCATCATGGGATGAGAGATTTTCGAAGCCCAGGTCGATCAATTTCGTTATTAGTATATTTAGATCAATTCTGTGAAAAGCCTTACTGGAATTAAGTAGGACAATCAAAACTAGATAACCACGAATGGAACATATCCGGTAAGCATAAGGTGGACGACGAAATTCAGAGACACCCAAATTGTTTTGAGTCGATTTTATGCCCGATATCGTCTATGATCCATTCGACCACAAATTCTTCCAGGATTTTTGTTATTCAAGCCGTTGGGTGGTATATCTTTCGGGATTGCATGGGGAAATATTGGCGGCTTTTCACAAACTTGGTAGGGGTAGATAATAGGTAATTGTTCAGCAGCAGGTAAGAATGATGGTAATTTATTCAAAATAAATGGTGGGATTTCTTCATCAATCGAGATAAAAAACTGGTTCAATGTTGTCACTAACTCATCGTCACTCAGAACAGATCCGGCCCATCCTCTTCAAGGTAGATTGGTGTTGTGTTGCTTGATCTACAACCAAGCTTCTTGACCAATTTCCACCATGATGTGCTGTCACTCTTCTTAAGATGATGCATTTTACTACAATAATTTTTTTTCCTTAGTTCCACTGCCGATTTAACTTTGTTTTTATAACAACGCTAGCGGTCAGTGTTTCCAGAGGAAAAGGCTCGCTGACGTGCAATGATCAATTGCTTGATTGAAGTCGTCATCCAAGATTTATCATTAGTATGAAGTTTAACCGACTGTAGAGGAAAAAAGGTGTGTATAGCATGGGTAATAGACTCTGTATAATCCGAGGTAATTTCTTCAATGGTCCCTTCGAGAAGGAAGGATTCCAGTCAAGTGACATCAACCATCGGCCAAAGGCTTGTCGTCGAGATTGGGAAAAGAGACGCCCCTGGCGCTTGATGACCTTGCCATGTGATATGGCATGGGGCTTTATTATCACGACGCTAATTAATAACATTATGATCAGATGTACTAACAGGAGCTAGAATTGAAGGCGCTTTATAAAATTGCTGCATGTTGGTGATTACAAGGTCAAGAATGGCTGAACCTCGCGTTGTGTCTTTCACAACTTGGTGCAGGTTTGGCTATTCCAGATATCCGAGATATCTAGGTTATTAGAATCTCCGAGTAGTACTGTACCATAATCGGGGGATTATTACAGATGTTAGCGAGGGATTCTATTAAATAACTAACGAGGTCACGTTGTTCTTGCATCGATTTGTCTGGAGGATTGTATATGACCCCTACAGTGATACCAGAAATCGACCTAGGGAGACGATGACCTCTCAGCCACAAGGATAAACATCCATACAATGGGTTTTCCAAGTCAGTCAGCCTCTTATAAGGAATTAGATTTGAAACATAAGCGCGAACTCCCCCGCCTCACCCGTTGGGTCTATTTCGGCAGGTTATAGTTTGGAATGGTTAGAATATCGTTATTAATCTCGTCATGGTGCCAGGACTCAGAGACTACTGCTATATCGATACTTCAAAAGAATTACGAATTCGTCGATTTTAAGAAGTAATGGTATAAAGGGTATCAACTGTTCCTCCACTCAAAATTAAGAACCTTTATACCTCTAGAATTTACCTACATTGAGTGAAGTGCCAAAAATCATAATCAATTTACTTTTGTTTAAAGTATTAAGTAAAATACGCTTGGAAGAATATGTAGTGGTAAAAGGGTAAGCTATAAGATCTGCATCTGTTCAATTTTGTTTTTAAATACGACGAATTATTAAAAATCTCGAAAACATCTTCATCTTCTATTGCTAAGTCTAAAATCAGTTAAACGGCATGCTGCATATTCCGGAAAATTTCAGAGTATCGGTAAGAAAAACCTACCGATTTGTTTCTCCAAATTGATGTTCCGTCCCATAAAAATCGTCGTCGGGCTTTCCATTATAATTTCCACATAAACCTTGACTATGGTGACCGGTATTTTGGTTATTTTGGTTGAATGGAGTTGGGGCTTTAATGTAGGTGCTAAGACCCCAGAACCAACGCTTTATTGTCACCATGACTCCCGAAGGCAAATATACCTATAGAAAATAATTACTATAAATTTACATAAATATATATATATAATATATATATATATTATAATATATATATATATATTATATATATAATATATATATAATATATATAATATATATATATATAATATATATATTTATATATATATTATATGTAATTGTCTTATCCAGACTGATTTCTTTCGTAAGCTATATATATCTTTTCTATGATAAGTAAACATAAATATATGAATATACACCTTCCGATGAAGCGGTATCAGTTAATGATCGAAGCCGTTACTAGGAAGCAGTTTTTCTGCGCAAAACAATACACACACATGCGTTTTTTTGGGGAAAGCACTCCTATAGGATGTAATTCTTTGTGGTCAATCTTTCATCCCAAAGACTCGTTCTTATATGGCCTTTAAATCGTTCTCCTGGGATTTATATTCTCCCGATTAGGACTCTGCAACTGCGAACCAGCGCATGATGTCATGTATGCGCACACGCTACATACCATGAAAGAGGTAGCCGAAGACATCAACCTGACCAACGGCACACGTTAGTTGGACTGTATACGATTCGACTGATCTATGATTACAATAACTTAATGCTGAGTCTATGGGCTTGAACGTGACAATCAGGAGCGCTTCTTCCCAAGCCCGAACTTGTATTTTTATTTATTCGATTACTAAAGCAACATTATGACATACATTAATTTTAGACTATATAGTGAAGGAGTCACTATATCGTCGTGTTATTGGCTCGTCTGTATAGATTACAGATAATGGTTATATACTGTCTATACTATCAGCAATATGTCACCCAACAGAGCCGAAGAAACGTTAAGTTGAATAACGTTAGTCTTAAGCATGTTATGAGATCTGTAACCTGATAAACTGTACTGAGGCATAGGTATGAATAGTGACTGCCATACATACGTCATGTGGCAAATGCCCCTGTTATGTATTCTGTTCTGTTATGTTTGAGTGGTGGGAGGGTGGTTCAAATTTTTCGATTTGACGTAAGTAATACCTTTATTTTGCAAACTGTATCTTTGAGCAGAGCGATTGGAGCGCCGGTTTGATGCATGTCTGACATGCCACCCGCAAACATATGTATTTTGCCAAAACCGAAGACACACCTTGATATGAACGTTTCCTCATTATATAACTTTATTTTAAGATTGATATACTAAAATAGCTTATATATCGAACATTCTACTCATATATAATTCTAAACACAAGTCGCGTTTTCGAAGTTTCTTCGGAAAATCTCTTCCAAACCCCAATATTCAGAAGAAATTCTCACCACAGATAATTCTTATTTATTCATTAGTTCCTTTTTAAAATTGGCTTTGTTTTATATGTAAATAATATCTAGCAAACAAACCGAGCACGAGGTTGCGCACGACGAGTGCGAGACACACACCGTTGCCGCCGATACTGAAACACAACTTATCCCGGTACTGACAGCCATGCAAGCGAGCATGGATAGACAAAACATGTTCATTGAAGGCATATTTAAGGAAAGACAGGCCGTGGAGAAACAGCCCCGCGCTCCTGATCGCGTCGATCTAGCTGAAGCCGAAAACGGCGAACACTCCGCTCCAAAAAGAGCCAAAACCGCCCCAAAGCATGGGCTAGACTCTGACAGTAATGACCGTACATTGCTCAGCAAAGTTCTGAACACACTACAGAATCGTGCGAAGATCCCCTCGAGGCAGAGCACGATCAACATGCATGAGGATACACAACCTCGTACCCAGGGTCTTTACTCGTAATGGTGGGGAGTAAAGACCCTGGCTGCGGCTGGTCACGTGAGCCCCCAGATTCTGGGGGAAAATTGAAATTGCGCTTAGGGAGGGGTGCTAGAGGCTCGCGTTGTTAAGGCGTTCAGAAATTTTCATTTTTTTGTATTGTACTCGCGTTCATTTCGATCATAAAACCATACATATAGGCTCGAATGTATGAACGTTTTTTCAGAAACAGGATTACAGTTATAATATCCTGTCCTGGAACACGGGAAGTATTAAATTACATTTTAGGTATGGAGATATTATCAAATTTCAAATACCTATTCATTCAATCGAGCGATGGCAAGCAAAGACACGCCGAAAAAGCTCTACGCGAAAAAAACCGAGGCAAATATTTCACATTGCAGACTTTGTTATTGTGTTACTGACCCGAAGCACAGTAAAAATTTGTTTCGAAGTCAGAATCTGATAACTTTGCGCAATGCGGAGACAGTATATGGTAGTGAATTGCCACATGGAAACGACCTTCCTCGTCAAATTTGTTCTGCCTGTGAAAGAAGGCTGAACAATGCGATAAAGTTAAGGGATATCATCATTGAGACTCAACAGAAACTACAGGAGAATGTTCAAGCAAAACGATGTGTGGAAGTTTCTCCTTCTGTTATCCCCTCAGCTAAAGTGCGCACAGCTGGGACTTCACGGCGACGAAGTATTGACTTCGGTAATGTTGCTGCCGAAAAATCTCCAAATGTAAGTGTATGTACGCATATACTGTACATGTGTTTAAAAAAAAAACGCAGGCAGAACAGAACATATGAATATTCACCCCACCAATTACCACTCTAGTTACGCCCCTAGTGTCAAGCAATACATGACCAGCATGAAGCATAGCATGATTCTTTTAAATTTATTGTCATTATTAAACATAACTTATTAGTACAAAATAGGTTATGTTTGGACCTAGACTGGGATCACTACCTATATCTTATCTATTTTTCAAAAGCAGTGTGTGAGCTCAATATATTTTCCTGAACTCAATCCTTCTACTTTTCATAATGTTTCAGCTGATTTCCCGTTTAAACAAGTATGGTCTGTGCCTTGAGCCTATGAAGAAATACCCAATTCTAGAAGACATTGGAAAGAGTTTTATAGATCATGCAGCAGAGTTGGTGAAGTCTGGACATAAATTTGTGTATGTGTTAGACAACATTGACTGGGAGAAGAAGGCCCATGACATGAGGCAGAATGTGCAAAACAGGAGTGTTCATGCTGTGGCAACAAGTATTGTATTTAATCGAGTTTCTGATGAAGGATTGCCCGATTCTGGTCCACAGCAAAGTCTTAAAGATTGCAATGTCCACCAGCTGGTGAATATCAATCGACTGGAATCTGAGGCAATCAGAAGCAGATATAGAATACTTGTTGCCAGGCTTTTGTTTGAACATTTTCCTGCTTTTGCAATATTCAAGCCATATATACCTGGAGCCACTGATTGCCAACAAACCAAGAATATGTCAGCCAAGTCAGAAGTTGTGACAATGCCCATCTTAATGAAAGATGAAAAGAAATATTCAGAATGTGTGGATGTATTGAATCAGCTTGAGAAGTGGACGGAAGAAATATATGCAGCTGCTGGGCTATGTTCCCCCTCAGAACCTGATGATGCCGCACCAAGCATTGGGACCACATCCAGACCTGATCAACCAGCCTCACACGTACCACCTGCTACAACTGATGATGATCCTTTACATGGTGTAAAAATACCTTGCTTTGGTGATCAACTCACTCGAGTCAGATTTGCTGGGGCAAAGGATCTTAGAGCTGGATGCCATTCAGCTAAACAGAGACTGGATCATCTATATCCGTTTTGTATTGTCGACTGGCACACCAAAAGAAGTTTTTTGAAGGTACAATTGACTTTGTGCCACTTTGCCTAAAAAAATTCTTAGCATTTGATTTCTTCAGTAATTATAACATTGGAAGGCTTGATATGCTATAATTTAATTAAATTTGAGCTTGACTGCTTGTAAGTAGAGCCTTACATTTTTTCACATTTTTAAGACGAGTACCAGGTGTTACAATAAAACTAGCCCTGCTTACATGCATTAGAGTTTATTTCAGTTGGTTAAATTTTTTTGTGACACCTGTTAAAAGTACAAAAATTGTGTTAAATTGTGAAATATTTGTACCATTTCAAATACCAGTAATTTACTTTTGAGTTTTAAAGCAGTCACATATAACATTTGATGTACAGGTGATTTTTTATATCCTGAACTGAATGTACTTTGTGATCTGGCTCCAAATTTGCCTTTGAAGAGTTCATTATGTTTATAAATCAAATGTGCAATATTAATATTTTACCATGTAATATTCTACAGACAGTGTTCAAGAGACTTTACAAGAACTCCGGGAGAGAGAAAGGAACGCTGCGATTCTTTAGAGAGAAGCTGAACCGAGGAAATGTCACTGTCGACGTAAAGCACTATGAGGACTGTGAGCAGCTGTTTTACAGTGTTGGTAAGTGTTTTGTGATTGAAGCCCTTTAGGAATTTTTCCAAATGGACGACACAAAACACAAGCCAGCAGCGAACGGTCCTCATAGTGTTCATGTATTGCAAGAAGAATACAGAAAGAGCTATATTGTCCAGGTGCTTGACAAATTTATTGATGAGTTTCCTTTCATTGATGATGAGGATGTGTATGATGAAGATGAAGATGGAGACAACATTGAAGATGATGGTGTTTGGAGCTATGGAATCAACATCATAAAGTGTTTTATGCTCCTTAATGATTTCAAGGATGCTGTATCCTCAGGCAATGGTGAACACCTCCTAATCCTGCGAAAACAACTGCTGGTTCACTTTTTTGCAACATCAGGATTTAATGAGTTTGCTATTAAAATGCTCATCAATATCCTACAGTCCAAAGTGTTGCTCTCAACTGTCGAAGCTCATCGCTGTAAATGGGCTGCTACAGTGAATTGGAAAGGTGGTGCTGGCAAAAATATTGAAATTGATCTTTTCCAAGAAAACAGGAACTGTGAGATGAAGAAGTTGATTCGTGCAATGGGTGCCGACAAGACTGACAAGGCAATAAGCAGAGCAAGTAAAGCATCAGGAGGAGTAACAAAAATAGTGGAGGCATTTGAACATCAAGTGAACATTCATCCGAAGTCAACCACTCACTCACACAAATCCGCAACTGATGACGAAAAAATTATAAGCAGAGACATAAGAGTCTTGAAGCCTTTCAAGAAGGATGGAAGATTATTTGAGTCTTTTCCAAATATTTCATGTAATCCCACCCAAGCATTAGACAAGGATAAGTTTACAACATGGATTGATAGGCACAAGAAAAATATTTTAATGCACTATCCTCTAGAAGATGCCGAACTGTCACACGAGTGATAATTGCCTGTGCCACAAAACTGTGAGTAATCTACCTCAAACAAGTATTTGATAGTTTTAAGTGAACTGCTAAGGTTTTGATTGAATCAATGTTTGCCACTAATTGATCTGTAAATTACAAATGCAAAATTTCTTTCATCTTAACCCATTGTCCAAAAATGAGAATTTTTTAGGCACACAAAATTGTATTCTGCTACAGGTTTTAAAATCATGGCAATAATTGTCAATCATTTTGGAACCTCAGGGGCATGCAATTATGTATGTTCAAGAAATAGTTGTTTTGGAAAATGTTTAATTTGCCCTATACTATAAATATAGAGTAGTATTTGAGGCTCATGAATTGAAAAGATGAGAAATTTGTTATGATATGATTTGTTGATTGTTTTCTATATATTGACAATGTCGATTGTATCGATTTTGATTGTATCACACATTTCATGAAACAAAAAAAATTGTTTTCAATGGTTGTAATTGTAAAGAAATCTAATACTTACAGAAACTTTAGTAGAGAATGCACTATTAGCCTATAGAAATTTTTTATATCAGTTTTTATATAAATGTATTGTGAATAACACATTTGCACTTGCACTGGTCATATGAACACAAATCTTATGAATTTGTACATTGTAGATTTTAAGAAATTTTTTTAAGAATATATATATAGTATTGGCAAATCATTTACACTAATTGCAATTTCCCTGCCTGTCAGTCATTCAAAATTACAATAGAGGAATGGTGATTGACATTGACAATGCATTGTCTGAAACCTAAACAGTCCCATGTTCCATTATTACAATAATTACCAATCCTCTACTGCAAATTTGATTGGTTGTCCATAATGTTCAAGCACAAGGAACAAATACACTGCTTCTTACAAACATCACAACAAAGGTGGAGTGGGTTAATGTATGCATCCTGTTCATAATCGAGCGATTTCACCAGTAACTTCCTAAGACATATATTGTCACTTGAGCAAAACTCACGCATATCATCTTGCATGCCCACCCTATTTTTTGCAATGTCCTTGTTGTTGTAGTGCAAGTGAGCTGATGAAGGTTTGCCATCTCTGCCAGCACGTCCTGTCTCCTGGAAATAGGCCTTTACAGTACTTGGAGGCCCAATATGAATGACCTGACGAATGTTGGGAATGTCCACACCCATCCCTATAGCCACAGTTGCAAAAACCACACGAATAGTACTCTGTCCAGAACAAAGCTGTTTTAAAATTTCATCTTTCATTTGTGTGGTTTGAGGGGCATGAAATTGTGCAAACAGCCGGTTTGCTGGGATTGAAGCAGATCTGGGAGGAAAATATGTTCAGCACCAAGAACATGCTCGAACATCCTGTACACAAACCCACATAATCGTAATGGTACATAAACAATTGTTAATGGATAGTTTATTTTCTCCAGTAAAAGACCCTTTGCTATCGGGATTAAAATTGATTGAACTGTATCAACATCTTGACCATGTTGAAAGGTGTTTTGGTAGAAAATATTTTTCCGATCTGGATTGGCAGTGACACACTTACAATTCTTTAGTCCTAATGAATCCTGAATATATTTAATGTCAGTCTGACTTGCTGTTGCTGTCATTGCAATTACAGGCACATCTGGGAACAGTGCACACAGCACTCCTAATCTGCCATAATCCTTTCTGAAATCACTTCCCCTGCAATGAAATTGAATGTATTAAACTTAAGCTTCACATTGAGCACATTATATTGACATAAGGCTTAAAGTGACCATGTCATAAAATTGGAATTTATCTTATTAGAATCGCCGTGAAACGTAGATTACGAAAATAGTAATCACATTTGAAATTGAGTTTGTTTTCGTGGAGAAATAAAGCGATAAAGTTTGAAAATTTCAAATTTTAACGGCAAAAGTTTTTGAAATCCGCGACAGTCGGAAACTGGTAACTAACACGTCACAATAGGAACTCGCATATTGCGCCTTTAGATAAATAATAGTATGTAGTACAAGAGAAGCGATTTTATGCCAGCTATAAATTCGGTTATTAAACGTGGCAGAAATATGTCTTCATCAAGTTTAGCTATTGAGAAGTTACCAAAGGAATGACACCGATCAGAATGTTTTCCTGCCAATGCTATGCCAAGAAAAAACAAAAGTTAAGACCATGAACGCGGGTCAATGTCAGCCTTGTCAGGCAGTAAGAACACTTCGGACCATACATTAACGAACTAGATGCCGATGATAAGCTGAAAAGCTATCGCGAAATGGAGCAATCGTGCAACGATCATGGCGTCGAAACTACAACGAAGACTTGATCGTAGGCGTCAGTAAATAGCAAATGTTTTCCTATTATCTTGATTGCGCGACTTGCTTTCCGTGACCCCAGAACATAATATCATTACGCTAGATATACAGTATTCAAATTACAAATAGATTCTATGGTAGTAATCTGGCAATTGTACTTAACTTAATTCTAAAGTTTCGTCCTAGTTGATCGTCATTCGTAATTGCGCACATACAGTTCACCCGGGTGTACATAAAAGGCGGACGCGGACCCCTAATACATTTTACTGCCCTGCATAAATATTATATTAATAGCATTATGATTGAGGTTTTCCTGTGGTTCATGAGTGCCGGTATTTCTACAATGTGTTTATGTGTAGTTAAGTCACGCATGCCTGTGTGATTCTCTGGTTTATTTTCATTACAAATCAACTGAGCAAGAGTATGAGTGGAGTTTCATGCGCTTTCAAAAAAAATAGTTCAATATTAACTGAGAAATCTAACACGTCTCGCGCAAAAGAAACATATCAAATCATGTGTATATAAATATAACCCAGTACATTTCGCTTTTATTATGGCATCTTTTTTACCAACATTCTTTAGCTGTCGTTACTAAAATGTGCGCACTCGCATCTTTTGAGACGTTATTTACTTCGGTAAATCCTTTATCTGTTAACTTAAACACTGCCTAACGTGTTTACAACACAGTGACTCAATTGGTCATGACTCATGGCGTATTTGCAATTATTGCACGACTGTTGCCAGGAACGTACAATTATTAAAGCCATTCCACAACACATTTTGATAATATATGAGTCACTTTATACAGAATTGTCTGTTAAGTATAAGAACAACCACTTTTTTGCGCAGTTAGCCTCTACTTATTACTCTATGCAATAGAGTTACTAAATTGTCGCGTCGAACGAGTTCCTATTGTGACGTCAAACACCTTGTTTCGCACCAGTCTCATTTGCGCGGTTTTCAGAGTTTTCATTCCACCAAAATCAATGTTTAGATGGCAATAACTCGAAAAATAAAAATCCAATTTCAGTTTTGATTTAGAACTTACTAACTCATTTCAAACAAAGATTCTAAAAATCTAAATTCCAATTTTATGACATGGGCACTTTAATTTCTGAAAAACTACTTAGGATATTTAAAAATTGATCAGCCTAGATTTTTATAATGCGATCCTAGCATGAAAATCAGAAAACACTTTTAGAAACGTAACTTGATAGTTGATACTAACCAGTCTAATATACAATGAGCTTCGTCTATAACGATTGCAAGGACATTTTCTTGGTATATTTCGCTTAACAATAATTCGCGTCCATATTTGCTTGAAATAAGTGTTTCTGGATGCGCAAAGACAATGTTGTATTGACCATCGCGTAACTTTTTATCTTCACATTCGCTGAAGTCAACATCTATATTTTGGTCTTCAGAGTCGTCGTCAAATTGTTCCCTTCTCGATTCTTTTACACCAACAATAGACGCTCGAATGCCACTCATACTTAGACGCAATACTTGATCACTCATTAGGGAATTTAATGGCGATACAACAATGACAATCGAGGTAACTAACATCGTAGAAATACCTCTCGGTGCTCGGATTAAAGCATCACGCAAATGGTATTTTGCAAAGAGGAACAATGGCAAAAGATGAAAAATTAAGGATTTGCCATAACCGGTCGGTAAAACACATACCACGTCCTTCTTTAGATACAAGCTCTCTAGACAAATAACTTGCTTTGGTTTCAGAATAGTTTCTAGATATAAACTATTTAAAACCGCAAATTTTACACACGATAAGAAGGCAATGTAGTCCAGCATGGCGGAAACGCAACAGAAATTGCCGTCAAGTGGAAGTTTGTAATATGACACTTCGCCCACACCCCCTAAGGCGATGAAATTTTGGGGGTTCACGTGACCAGCCGCAGCCAGGGCACAGTTTAATGATATACAGTTATGGAACTCGCGGCGGAACCCTTTGATGTTGCTGTCCCCCTGCCTACGCCATTCCACGCGCCACGCAAATTGCTCTGGCAAGTGTATTTTGACTCTAAAGTAAGGGAAAAAGGTGTTCGAAAGACGAAAAATGTTAATATTTTAAAGCTGGCTCTATCGATCTCCATTTTTGTGCCTAAATTTTAAAAACAAACGGTAAATGGTTGTTTTTTTGTAAAAAATGTATGCGTTAGGTTAAAGAGGTAAGAAATACAAGCGCGAATGATTTTCTTTATAAATATCAAGCTGATTGCCAACATCGTCGCCGATTATAAATTAGGCAGTTATTTTTTCATCCAGAAAACATCTGAGCTGATCTTAAAAAAAGCATGATTGATGTGTTAATATTACAATTCAAACACACGAAAAAAATCATTGAAAATAATTTATTGTGCCATAAAACTAGCAAAAACTACATGTTTTTTATTCGAATCTTGAACTTGAATTCAAAGGATTTACAATAAACAAATGCAACTTTTACCTATATACAATACTTTTTACATGAGTATAAATCCAACTTCACACACAAAATGGTAAATGCTAACAGATATTAATTTCAGTTCATACATGATTGTAATATTCATGAAGGACATGCAAATCAATTTCCAATCTAATCTATGCAATTCTGTGTGGCTTCTATGAGAAGATTGAAAGCTATTTTACAATTTTTGGATGTGAATATAATGAAAAATATAAATATTTTGTGCTCTGAAACTATAATAATATGATGAATGTGTCCTAACCTTCCCTTTTACATGGAGTTTTAATGTTGTAGAATTAACCTTGCATGGATAGATTCAAGAACAAGGCTTTTTGTTGAGATTAATTACATGAATGAATTTACACCAAGCCTAAATAATTTGAGCAGTTAATGCATAAGGGTAATATAAAAGCTTACCTATAAATGAATAACATAAATTTCTTATACTGATATGCAAGCTATAATTCTAGAACCATTGTCTAACCTTGCTGCTGGTGCTGCTAGATAATTCAGTTCTAGAATTTCCATTGGTGCCAGCCCAAAGAGGGCCGAAGAGTCCAAAGTGAAATAATAATACGCATAGGAGACAACATATATAGGGTTCACAAATATCAGTAAACTGCGTATACGTTGTAAAGCATTTTTTAATAGCCATCTAACTTGCTATCTTGAACTGTTGAACAGTAGAACTCAATGTCTTGATATGTCATCTGCTCAAAGTTAACTTTGAGAGATTGTTTTGCCATCTAGAAAAAAATATGACTGTATGTTGGCGAAATATAGTCATATAGACCTACATTTACTACATGAAATACCAAACCTTCAATTTTTACCTGGCAGTTCTGGCAAGCTTCGTGTTAAAATCGCACTCCTCGTAGTTGTATTTCCCGTTTTTTTCCGTTTTAATTCGTATTATCGCAGTCATTTTTAATCCAAAAGGAGCAATGTCGGATGGATAAATAAAATTTGTCCAAAAAACGAAGAACAAAAGACCCTTGGCTTTAAAATTGCATTTTTTCTGCTAAAAAATCGAATTTTCCTTATTAAAAAGTGCAAAAACACTTGCCAGAGCCTAGCGCGTGCGCATTAAAAACAGGGGGACAAGATTTGCCGCGAGTTCCACCTCTGTGTAGTACTCTGTGGCCAGGGTCTTTACTCCCCACCACCACGAGTAAAGACCCTGGGTACGAGGTTGGACAAAATACGGGAATATTTTTATAGTTTTTGATCAAAAATATTTCGTACGATGCGGGATGACAGTGGTCCCTGTATTCGTCATTGTTTTGAAATATTTTACATGATCCTATTGGTTGAAAAAAGTTCGTTCAAATACCTTACAGTTTGTTTCTTTTTTCAACCAATAGGATCATGTAAAATATTTCAAAACAATGACGAATACAGGGACCACTGTCATCCCGCATCGTACGAAATATTTTTGATCAAAAACTATAAAAATATTGCCGTATTTTGTCATGTTAAAAGTAGTTTTAAATCCTAATTCGCATGTACGAAGCGAGGAAAATTATCAGAGATTAGTTTACTATATTTTTTTATTAGTTTCGGTGAATATAATTGATGTATTTTGTCATAGTCTAAGTGGTAAGTTTCGTAACGTAAAAAAGAGCTTCCTACCTTATGTAATTATATATTATACATTACATTGACAAATTGCCGAAAAATGTTTCGCCCGAAAAAATATCGCCCAATTTTGGGCCGCCTATGCTATAGCGGAATCCAAAGTCGCCTAAATTTGGACCATGGACGTTCAATGGTCATGGTACTTGTGCGCATGCGCGAAATGCGAACGAGTGTAGACTGGTAATCAACGAAAGTTCTGATTGGCTAAGACAGAAAGTTTGTATTTAAATGAGAACGTCAGCAATTTAACCAATTTAACTGTCATTTCGTAAACATTTTTGTAAAAGCGTTTCATAAACTTTGTGCAAAGAAAGTAAAACGAGAAGAAACAAGATATATGAAGCATGACAGATAGCAAAGATGAACGTGGATACAGTCAAAACAAAGCCGTGTAAGAGGAATAATTCATAATCTGCAAGCTTATAGATGTTTTCAAAGAAAAAGGGTACGTGTTTACTTTGTTTATTGGGCTATTCCATTTAAAATTTGTACCCCCCCTATCGAGGACATGGTCTCCAGCACGTCTGCCCCTGAGGAATTCCAGCCTGATAATATGCCTACCCTGAGGAATTCCAGCCTGATGATATGCCTACACCAAGGAATTCCAGGTTGATAATATGCCTACCCTGAGGAATTCCAGTGTGAAAATATGCTTACCCTGAGGAATTCCAGCCTGATAATATGCTTACCCTGAGGAATTCCAGCCTGATAATATGCTTACCCTGAGGAATTCCTGGTCGATAATATGCTTACCCTGAGGAATTCCAGCCTGATATGCTTACCCTGAGGAATTCCTGGTCAATAATATGCTTACCCTGAGGAATTCCTGGTCGATAATATGCTTACCCTGAGGAATTCCTCTTGAATAATATCCTTACCCTGAGGAATTCGAGCCTGATAATATGCTTACCCATTACCCTGAGGAATTCCAGCCTGATAAAGTGCTTACCCTGAGGAATTTCAGCCTTATAATATGCTTACCCTGAGGAATTCCAGCCTGATAATATGCTTACCCTGAGGAATTCAAGGCTGAAAACTACCCACACCTGAGGATTTCCTGGCTGAAAACTACCCACACCTGAGGATTTCCAGACTGGAAACTACCCACACCTGAGGATTTCCAGGCTGAACACAGTCCACACCTGAGGATTTCCAGGCTGAACACAGTCAAATACCTGAGAATTTCCAGTGTCCTCGATAGGGGGGGTACGCATATTAAATGGATAGCCCATTTCGTATTTGTTTCGCGGTAAGAATGAGCCGTATTTGTATACTTTTCAGCTTTGTATTCCGTTTATTTGTTAAATTTTCAGCTTTTTATGCAAACGCATAAACCTGTGAAGGGCTATTACACCTTTGCTTTAACTTTAAAAAGTGTTTTTGAAAGTGTAATTTGAATTTTGGTATCAAAAATACACACTACATTTATAAAATAAACTGAAACTTTTACTAGTGTGAAGCTACCACAGGATTCACCACAGGATTCGCTCTTCCTCCCAGAACAACAAAATCGAACATATGCGAAGCTAGCACGATACTCATCCGCACATACGCAAACACAATATATTATGTCGTATTTTTTATTTTGCTGTTAAAAACAGGCAGTATATCAATGAAACTGGTATCGACAGAAAGCTTAGATAACACGGATTCCGAATATGTAATTTTTATCCTGGCCCCAATTCGTCGTCGAATGTTACAGCTCCTAAAACGCAGACGTCTGTCAGCCTGCATTCGAAATCGCATATAATGATGTACGTTAAATGCGCGTTCAAATACGAGCGAAGTAAACAACCAAAAACGGCTTCACATTTAATGAAACTGGTATCGATAGAAAGCTTACATAACACAGATTCTGAATATGTAATTTTTATCCTGGCCCAAATTCGTCGTCGAATGTTAGAGCTCCTAAAACGCAGACGTCTGCCAGCCTGACATTCGAAATCGCATATAATGATGTACGTTAAAGTGCCTATATCACTTGTGGGATCTTTACGGATTTGAATAGAGCTTAAAAAATTAGTTTACAAGTTCTACAACCCTTTTTGATATAATTAAATAGTTTCGAAAATACGTCGGTTGGGGGGACTGAGACTCAGGAATGATTTGCAAACACGCCGTCTTTTATAATGTAAACATGAAGAGTTTCACTGGCGATATAGTTTGCGCTTTTAAAAAAAAAAAAATGCGGGAACGGTGCGTTGTGTATGGCTGTTGCAGCTGGGCGAGTTTTTCTCAAAATATTTTACGTTATTGGAAGATCGAAGTAAAATTACAAGAACTCGGTTCCTGAGTCCCAGGCCGCCGAGCACGACGGAAATTTAGGCAAATCGTCATGTTTAGATGTAAATATTTCCGAAACTATTTAATTATATCAAAAAGGGTTGTGGAACTTGTAGACTAATTTTTCAAGCTCTATTCAAATCCGTAAAGATCCCACAAGTGATATAGGCACTTTAAATGCGCGTTGAAATACGAGCGAAGTAAACAACCAAAAACGGCTTCACATTTAATGAAACTGGTATCGATAGAAAGCTTAGATAACAAAGATTCCGAATATGT